CATGGGGAGGCTTTGCCCTAAAATTTGAGGAAACTTTTGATTTGAGTTGAAGGGCTTGGATTTGAGGGAGAGGACATCATAAGAGGTTCATAAAGGCTCTCCTCTCTCCCATCCATCCTCTCTCTCTATTTCCATCACCTAGAGTTTTCTCTAGATCTAGATCTAGATTTAGATCAATTTTAATGGAAAAAATGATGTCATGTATTTCTTTAACTTTAGATTCATCGTAGATGCATGCTTCATCTTTCACATCGTCATTTCCTCTCTTTTTCATGATTTTGGACGTAAAAATCATCAATTTCTCCTAATTCTTCTTTATTTAATGTTGATTGTGACGGATAATGTTCGCAGGTATGATGGATAGGTCGAAATGGATGTACCGGATCGATAGAGTGAATGATCCGCGGTACCTCTTTGAATTAAGGAAGTTTATTGCTGCTGGTAAAGCTCACCGTGAGAGACTGAAGCGGATGACAACCATATGTCCATGTTCTCGTTGCAAGAACCTGAAAGCCCACCGAGACAGCGAGGTGCAAACTCATTTGATCATGTATGGTTTCGTCGCGGGCTACACAGTCTAGACATTTCACGGTGAAAGAGTTGGTGCGAGTGGCGGTGCATCTGGAGTGAGCTCTTCGACGCCGACGACGACAGCACCACCGGTGAATAAAGATCCTTTAGGAGCACCCGGCTCCTCATCATCTTCAGCAGCAGCTGCGCCAGCCGACAGTGACAACAGTTGTTGTGATTACATCACGGTGGATGATCTAATGCAAGACATGGCCGACGAAGCCAGCGACGGTGGGGATGGTCAGGATACTGTGAGCCAACCCGAGGATGTGTAGCTTGTTGAAGATCTAGTGAAACACTTCGATGAAGACGATGTTGTGTTGGGTTGCCCAAAGTGGTTGGAGAATTTTAGAGAGTTGAAGCAGGCGGTAGTTGATCCTCTCTATAAGGACGGCGGCGATTGTCCGAAGGAGTGCACGACGCTCCGTTTTAACCTCCATATGTTGATGTTGAAGGCTCGTCTTGGTTGGTCTGACACTAGCTTCAATGAGTTGTTAAGCTACCTTGCCACCACGTACCCAACGGCTAACAAGGTGCCCGCCAATACTTATCGGGCCAAGAAGCTGATCCAGCCAGTGGCGATGAAGCTTAGAAAGTTTGATGCATGCCCTAACCACTGCATATTGTATCGGGGCAATGAGTATGAGAATTTGACGAGTTGTCCGCACTGCGGCTTTAGTCGGTACAAGAAAAATGCTGGTTGTCGCGTGGATGCAGAAGACGAGGGAAGCTTGCGGGGTGGTCGGAAGAAGAACAAGAAGGGGGGCAAAGAAGAGCAGTGCAGCCGAACAGATCTCGGCTCAGCAGGATGATGAAGAAGAGGGTTACACGCATAGGAAAAGTCCAGCACTATCGGTGTGGTACCTGCCCGTGACCGATCGCCTGCGTGCAATATTCGGGAACCCGGACGATGCCATGCTCATGTCCTGGCATGCATCAACTGACCGCCTGAAAGACGATGGCAAGCTACGGCACCCATCCGATGGCAAGCAATGGAAGGATTTCGACGAGGCCTACCCGGAGTTTGGCAAGGAGCCCAGGCATGTTAGGTTCGCGCTGAGTACCGACGGGATGAACCCATTCGGTGAGCTTAGCAGCTCGCACAGCACTTGGCCCATCGTGCTCACCCTCGTTCTCCTCCTCCAACAACAAGTCCACCTCCACCTCCCGGCAGTCCGTCTAAGGGCACGAGCAAAGGACCGGGAGGCATGGAGGAACCAGGGGCAAAGACACCGCCTGGTGCCATTGCGAGCACAAGCCACAGTCCTCCACCGCCGGCGAAGACTAAAGGCGACCAAGGGCAGCTCACACACTCACTTGAGTTCGAAAGGTATGGTAGCGGTGAGCATAATTTGCTAATAACTTTTCTTTGCCATAATATGGTACTAACATTTCTATCCCAGGCCGAGATCACCTTTCCATCTATTTCCTGAATCGGATGACTGCCCCGGCCATTACGAGCATGGGAAGTTCATGATAACCAAGGCCCAACTCGTCGACAAGGAAAGGTGGGAGACAAGGAGGTTTCATCTCTGGTACATGGAAGCGGCAAAAGCTGGCCTGCATGGTTTTGTAGTCAAGGTTGTGGCGGAGTACTTCCACTTGCCCGGCAACGATGTAGAACTCCCCGTGGACTTCCACGACATGTACATACTCATCAAGGAACAAGACCTTGACATCGCCCAAGTCACCTTGTTCTCTATGTAAGTGATGAATTACGAGTTTCACATATCACCGCCTTTTTGAATCGGTCAAGACTACTTATATATGCCACGATGGCTTGTCCTTGTAGGTTGATGGCCTATATATCCAAGGAACTAAAACTTGATGTTATCTATCTATCTCCAATGCATATTGCTCAAAGAATCATCATTGGTTACCACCTAGATGACAATCATCCAACCATGAAAGACTTGACCAAGCGATAGAGAGAGGCGCACAGGAAGAAACTGATGGACAATGAGAAGTTGAACATTTCAAGGTACATACTAGGAGCAATGAAGAAGATCAGGGGACATGGGTGTATCCTAGCTGCCTACCACTTTGGGTAAGTCAAGACATGCTCAGAGAGATAAGTGAGTAGCTAGCTAGAATTATTATTTCTCGTCAGTAACTCAGATTTTGTTTCAATGGCGTACCAAGGCCTCGAGGGTCACTGGGTTGCATTTATCATCTACACTCGTGGATGGTAGGGCTGCGTATTTGATTCGCTGATGATTGCCAAACTTAAAAGGGTACAAGGCCTTTGAAGATTGCCTCAGAGTGTAAGTGACTGAACTGTCTTCTTATATGCATTCTAATGCCCTGCCTAATACTAGTACATTTCGTATAACGCTTATAAGGAGTACGTGAAGGATCCTGAATGCTATGATCGAAGAACAGAGAATTTTAAGGCTAAGCATAAGAACCGCATCAAAATCAAACGCAACTTTCCGGTAAGTATTTGAAAGGTTTAATTATGCTTTCCGTTCATATGCGTTCTAATGCCTGTGTTGTAATGCTTGTGTATCGATCATGCAGTGTGTCAAACAACCGGTAGGATCACAAACCTGTGGCTTCTACGCCTGTGAGTTTCTGAGGGTGTGCAAGTAGTACAACAGCAGTTGGAGGGTGCTCAAGAATAGATTGAACTGGTCGAGAGACGTGCAGAGCATCCAACACACCTTCAAGCAGACAAAGGCGGACATATGTAAGTTTGTCTTAGACAAATGCATGCTTGAAGGGGCACGTTCTTCAATGAGAATAGCCCGCTAGCGATTTTACCGGAGTACGAGAGGCTGAGGAAATGGCCCACGATGATGCGTCCGCAGGATTACACCTTAGCGCATGTATAACGACTTTAATATGTAAATGTAATGAATTAACGATGATAAGAACGACTAAGTGAATGTATATATATGTATATTATCTCATGTGTAATGCCTGCATACTTTTTAAGTTTAATCTGTGTAATCTGGATGTGATTTGAATTTGAATTTGAATTTATATGCCTGCTGTATTTTTTTTTAATTTAGGAAATAATTTACCGAGGCGGGCAAATAATAATGCCCGCCACGGCTAATGAACATAACCGCAGCGGGCCACAAAAGTTGTGCGCCGCGGTAAAATAATTTACCGCTGCGGGCGGTGTAACGTGCCCGCCGTGGTAAAAGTATATTTACCACAGCGGGCACGTTACACCGCCCGCCGCGGTAAATCGGTTAACCGCGGCGGGCAAAGCCGCCCGCCGCGGTTAAGCCACGATTTACCGTGGCCTCTAGGCCGCGGCGGACGGCTTTGCCTACTGCGGGAAACCAAAAACGCCCGCCTCCAATAAAGTTTGTGTAGTAGTGTATAATAGAAGTAGTTTTATTAGAGGATATAGCAGCTCCACTTAGCCTATGGTTTTCATGGTATATTCTGTTTCATGTCTAAATTGTTAACCATTTAATTGTTACAATCAGAGGATATAGCAGCTCCACCAAGCAGTGTGGAAAAAGTCATGGGAATTGATGAGCACATAGGCTGTACCATGAGTGGACTTATTACTGATGCTAGAACACTAGTTCTGTCAATTTTTTGCTACACTGTATCAACATTTATTAACAGCTGTGATGATTGTAACTCCTTGTATTTCAACCTGTTTTGTATATCTACCTAGCTTCTATTAAGTCACAAGTAAACTGCTATATATTGTTTTGGTTATCTACCTAGTTTTGACTTATCTAAAGCTCCAAACTACTATATGTGCTAAAAGCTCCAAACAACTATGTTAGAATTTGATGCTAAAAGCATGCTAGGGATTTCTTGTTGTGATTGAGTAGGCGAAGGACAATATCGGCGAGAGAATCGCAGCGCTCCAACAGCCAGGGTCACTGTTTGGAAAGGTATTTTCAGTCCTGCAAGATTTTCAATTATCTTACTGTTTGAAAACTTAACAAATCCTGCTAGCCATAGTTTGGAGTTAGAAATGTGCTTTCCATAGCAATAGAACTGGTTTGGAGTCAGAAATGTGCTAGCCTAAGCAATTTTTTTTATATATGAACCAATACCATCAATTGCCATTAAGATGCTTTCTTCTTGATTACAAAGGTAACGAAGATTTGTTTTTGCATTTTCCTATGTGGATGTTGGGAGCAGGAGGAGCTCGTAGCTTAAGCGCGAGGCTTATGGCGGAAGGGTAGTTTCTATGTCAGTCCTGATCCAAAGTTGATGTTTGTCAGAAGGGTAACTAACTCAGATTCTTGCTGTTCTTTTTCTTGCTTTAGACAGATTCTTGCAGTTATGGTCCATATTTATAAGCTGTAGTTATTCTGCTTGATCTTTGGAAAGGGTTTGCTACTCTCGATTGCCTATCTTGATCACAGTAGTGTGAATGTGCAGCAAGCAAAACTTGAATTAGTTGTAGATGTGCAGGAAGATGGTAGCTGCAATCACTCTTCTTGATCACAATGGTATGAATGTGCAGGAAGATGGTAGCTGCAGTCACTCTTTCTTATTTGTATAATCATAAAGCTGACAATTGGTTCTTTTGTTTTCATTGAGTAGTTTGGAGGTTTCACAATAGTATGAATGTTTTCTTTTGTAGGTCTGCGAGTGGCAGCCAGAGGCCCTTTCCATTGAGTATCCACTTGTATTTAAATCCCTTCCTAAACGTACTGTAGTTCACAAGTAGGTGTACTGATAGTAACCTTATTCAAATCATCCCATCCTGTTTTTTTTTTGTCTTTCAAACATTCAATATTCAGTTTGTAATTTGAGGCTTTGATTTCTATCTTATCGCATAGAACTGATAACTGTACCACTTGTGATTGCTAACTGTTTTTAAAACATTTTTAACCTGATTATTTTCTTTCTAGCTCAGAAAACAAAGAATAAATTCCATATGCTTTGTTCCTTCTGCAGGGTGATAGCATCCTTGCAGATTCTGGTACTGAGCAACTTGAATTCATAGCTCTGTCACAGAGGACTGGGGATCCCAAATACCAGCAGAAGGTGCTGCTACTTTTCACTCATATTTTCAGATGTCCCTCCAGTTCTATGCTATTAGATGAGAAAATTTAGAGTGAAACCTCAGTGTGAAACATAGCTGTCATTCTTGTACCATAGTGTTTCCTTTCCACCATACTTGTTTTTGAGGGAGAGAGCTGAGTGTTTTTTGTTGGATGATGAATCCTATTTGATCCAACCAATTTTGGTGATGTCTACCTGTTTTACTCACATACGATTAATTTTCTATGTAAGCTGAAACATGCAGAATTATTTTGTTCTGGAAAACCCTGAAGAATGTAGTTTTCTCATTCTGATAGTGTTTAAATGAAACATGTGAATCTTGAGCCAAATGCATGGAATTTTTAAAGTAAGTTAGGGTTGGTAGAATCTTGGGCCAAATGCATGGAATCTTGGGCTCTTATTTGAGTTGCTACAATCTAATTTTAGGCGGAGAACGTCATCACACAGCTTCAGAAGATATATCCCAGTGATGGTTTGCTTCCTATCTACATAAATCCTCATTCTGGGACAGCATCATACTCAACTATCACATTTGGTGCTATGGGAGATCGGTAATGTCATTGTCTTCTGGCCAAATATTTTCTTCCTGTTATTTCGGCACTTAGCTCTGCTAGATTTGTGCTCTCCTATTGGATCATTGCTAAGTTTTGTGCTGTGGACCTTAGTTGCTATTGTCTCCAGAAAATTTCGAAAATAAAACTAACTGCCATTTTCTGTTCAGCTTCTACGAATATTTGCTCAAGGTCTGGGTCCAGGGGAATAAAACTGAGCATGTAAAACACTACAGGTTTGGGACTATTGTCAGCTTGGTTTCACAAAGTTAAGTAGCCATTGCAATTTATTCAATTCAACGTGGATAACAATCCCATTCTTGTACTGTAGAAGATGTTTAGAAACTTTTGGCTAAACAATCTTGTTTGGGCCATAATATTACAGTCAAGTTTGCCAGGATACTTGATCATGTATTTTAGTCGTCACAGGATGATTTGGGGGACCACGTGTTGGTAATTTGATTTTTTTTTTTTTGCGGGAAAACGATTTGTAGGGGCGGCTGGTACTGTAGCCGCCTCTACAAATCAATTTTGTAGGGGCGGCTGGTGCCAGCCGCCCCTAAAAATCGATTGGTGTTACCAGCCGCCCCTAAAAATCGATTTGTAGGGGCGGCTGATAACACCAGCCGCCTCTACAAATCGATTTGTAAAGGCGGTCTAGGAACCGCCCCTACAAATACATGATTTGTAGAGACGGTATGATAGGGGCGGTTGGCTGAGCCGCCTCTACAAATCATCGCCAGCCGCCCCTACAAATACTTTTTGTAGTAGTGTACCTCAATGCAGCGTCGATGGCGGCGGGGAGGCGGCGTACCAGTGGAAGGGCACCCCGCCGGACTCGATCCACGCGACATCCACGACGAGCTGCTGGTAGTGGCCGGGGCGCCTCCTCCTCCTCCTTCTTCTTCCTCCTTCCTCCTTCCTCCTCCTCCTTCTCTTCCTCCTTCTTCCTCCTTCCTCCTCTCCTCCTCCTCCTCCTCCTCTCTTTCTCCTCCTCCTCCGACGGCGCGGCGCGGGCGCAGGCGGTGTTGGCGCGGGCGGTGTTGGCGCGGTCTGCCTGCGTGCGTGTGTGCGGTGTGTGTGGGCCGGCTAGGCCAACGGGGTTAAATCCCCCCTTTGCCGAGTGGCCCCGATCTGGCACTCGGCAAACTATTTTTTTAATTTTTTAAAATTCTTTGCCGAGTGCCACCCGGCCTGGCACTCGGCAAAGAGTTTTTTTTTTAAAATTCTTTGCCGAGTGCCATACCTCCTGACACTCGGTAAAGTGGTGATTTGCCGAGTGTCATTTTTTTGACACTCGATAAACCATATTTTTTTTCACTTTTGACCTCTAAACTTTTTCTACAGTCCTCATACAATACCTGGTACTCCATGTTCCAATGTGTTATATTTCTCGGACTTTTTCTATATTTCTTTAATTTATTTCATTTAATTGAATTTTCTTGGATAATTCAAATTATAACTACTAGTCATTCGAACAATGAAAAAAATGAATGGAAAAATGATATTCATGTTATTTAGTATAATGAGAGGCCGTATCTAGGAACAGACCACCAATTTCGAACATCTTGTTCACGAAACATGACCACGAACTTGTGGTCGAGTTGTTTTTAAATTCTATAAAAAGCAAACGAAGACCGAAAATCTTGAAACTTGTCCAGATGTCATGATATCATATGTGGAGGCTGTGATAAAAAATTGAGGACGTTTCGCGCAAGTTTGTCACGTACGATGCTTACCACCTCGTTGGCCTCTTCACGAAATCATGAAACTTCTTCGGAGATTCTTCGGTTTGCAAGCATCATATGTGACAACTTGCGCGAAACCTTCTCAAATTTTTATCATAGCCTCCACATATGATATCATGACATCTTGACAAGTTTCATGATTTTCGGACTTCGTTTGCTTTTTACAGAATTTAAAAACAACTCGACCGCAAGTTCGTGGTCATATTTCGTGAACAAGATGTTCGAAATTGGTGGTTTATTCCTGGATATGGCCTCACATTATACTAAATAACATGAATATCATTTTTCCATTCATTTTTTTCATTGTTCGAATGACTAGTAGTTATAATTTGAATTATCCAAGAAAATTCAATTAAATGAAATAAATTAAAGAAATATAGAAAAAGTCCAAGAAATATGCCACATTGAAACATGGAGTACCAGGTATTGTATGAGGACTGCAGAAAAAGTTTAGAGGCCAAAAGTGAAAAAAATATGGTTTGCCGAGTGTCAAAAAATGACACTCGGCAAATCACCACTTTGCTGAGTGTCAGGAGAAGACACTCCGCAAAGGGTTAACGGCGGCTGCTGGCCGTTAACAGCGGCGACATTTTTGTCGAGTGTTAGGAGAAGACACTCGGCAAACCTGGTCTTTGCTGAGTGTTATTGTTTGCCGAGTGCCAGTTGTTTGTCGAGTGCTTTCTCTCTGGCACTCGACAAATAGACTCTTTGTCGAGCGCCCGATAAAAAGCACTCGGCAAAGTCTGGGACACTCGGCAAAGAAGCCGTCTCCAATAGTGTCAGTGAACTTCAGTTGAACTATAGGCTACCTTAATGATGAAAATAGAAATGGGATCTTCACCAAACTATAGCTATTGTTCTATAGGTTCTCAGATTGTATTTTTTGGTTCCTATTGTTTCTGTTTATCAAAAGATATAAAATTATGAAGCAGTGTTCGCCCATGTTTGTCCCACCCGCGACCTACGCGGTCAGTTGATTTCCTGAGTCGGTGTCGGGCGACTTGAGCCCCCGAGCCCCATTGGGCTTGGCAGGGGTTGGCCTAGTTTCGTGCATTACCCCATCCATGGTTTCTGCAACCCAAGGGGCTGAGCTAACATTGCTTGCCTTGATGGCTCAAGCGACGCGCTCGGTGAGCTCGCTAACGTGCACGTTCGAGTGGAATCCAGGTCTGTCGTTCATGACAGGGTCGGCATAGCCCTCATGTGGCATTCCACTGCTCCTTAACCCATATCCCGGCAGAAGCCTGGGTCATTCTAGAGATCGACCCAGGTGGCCCGCTGACCTCCCCTCGATGGAGATTCTGTGGGCATGGCTTGAGGTTAGGATCGAACGAGAAGGTCGAGATGACACTGTCTGCTTCGGAGCAGAGTGGGTGAGGACCGCTGGGGCTCATCTACATCTTCTCCCTTGGCTCTGTTTGACGCGAGGCGGCCTCGAGCCCTTTGTGGACCGGCCTTCGAACCCCGGTCGGTCGTTGCTGATGTTGAATGAGGCAACTTCCGCTTCATGATGCAACACGAAGCATTATGATGCATTTAACTGCATATGCGATGCTTCGGATGTATGGGATGAATGAATGAATATGTGAATGAATGCGTGAATGCATGTGTAAATGAATGATCATGCATTAGGAAAAATAAAGTGAGAGGGATCAGTAGAGTTACCATGCCGACCCGAGTGACAGGCTTGAGGAGTTTTTATCGGATATGTCCGAATGGGGTCCGCGCTCGTCTTTCATGACAGAGTCAGTCGTGGCCCACATGGGGCGTCCCTCTGCTCTTACCTGTCATTCGGTATTTGCCTGAGCCATCCGATCGACTCAGGAAGCCCGTTGGTCTCTCTTTGGCGGAGATCCCGTTGTTGGGCCCTTCCAAGTCTTTCCTGGGAAGGCAGAGAGCCGCCTGTGTGCAGTTATGCCTTGTTTCCCATGCCCAGTGTGCGGTAGTGGTGGGCCATGCCCAGGCCATGTCCCGTCAAACCAGACACCGTCTCGTCGGGCATGGTGCGTCCCATCAGTTAGGACGTGTCCCGCTGCATCCCATCCGCATTGAATGGGGGAAGGGAGAGGGTTTTCACCCCAATCCTTCACCTTTCCCCAACTGTTGCGCCTCCTCTTTAAATAGGGGAGGGGAGAGGGCTTCTGTCCCATTCCTTCGCCTATTCCTCATCTACCGCCTCTCCTCCTTCTTCCTTCTTGCCAAAAGCGTTCATGTGTCGTGGCGGTTCCTAGGAGAAAAAAGGGAGAGCGAGGGAGAGGAGAAACTCACAGATCCGTTCTTGAATCCAGAGCGCAATGTCGAGCTGGAGGTCATCTTGCGTGAGCGAGTCGGTGCTGGCCGCCTTCATCGAGAAGGGGGTGCTGCCGCCGAAGGAGGTGGTGCACTAGAGGGCTCCTGTGGGGGAGGATTTCCTACGACCTCAGGCTAGCGAGGTTGTCTCCTTCCTCGCCTTCCATGAGCGTGGGTTAGGATACCCCACGCACTGGTTCCTGCGCGGGCTCCTCAATGAGTGGGGAATGGAGCTGCAGCACCTCAATCCAACTAGGGTGTTGCATATCACCTGATTCATCACCGTGTGCGAGGCCTTCCTCGGGATGGAGCCGCACATGCACTTCTTCCAGCGAATCTTCACCGAGCAAGCTTTGTTAGAGGGGAAGCCGGCCAGGACCACGCCGGTTGGTGGTTTTGCCCTACAGAAGAAGCCGAGCTCATCGGGCTTGTACCCCACGTACAACCCCTACGATTCCAATCGGGGGTGGCACAGGGAATGGTTCTACATCAGTAACCCAGCAGAGGCACCATTCCCGCCTTTCAACGGTAGGAGGCCGGAGGGGCAGGAGAGCTAGTCATGGAGCCCCGCTAGCCGGCAGAACAAGAAGCTGGAGATTATTGGGGCGGAGCTCCAGAAGTTGATGCGGCATGGCCTTGATGGGGTGCGGGTGTTTCACACCTTCTTCTGCCATTGGGTCGCCCCACTTGCAAAAAGGACATGTCCGATGTGGATATACACCGGCCCGACGGACCCCGACCGTGCGTCGCGGTGGAGTTGGCGACAGACGAGGTCTAGAGTCAACTTGATCGGGTGCTGCAACTGAGGGCCAAAGAGACCCTTGATGGAAAGCCTAGACCTTTTCACGCCACGAAGCTATCCAATATGGTATGCTCCCCTCTCCTTACTCCGTGTTCTTTTCCCCTTTTGCGCTCTTGTATCTTGACTTCGAGTCATCTGTTTCGTAGGGACTCGAAGTTTACAAGT